CCGAGGCCATCCACCTGGCCAACCTGCTGTGTCAGTACGGGTACTTCTTCCCGGTCGGCGAGTCCCGCTCCCTCATCGTCAAGGATGACTCCTCACTCTACAGGTTCCAGGTGAGTGCGAAATTTTTGACTTTCTTATTCTCTCATTCGCTTTATTGTGATTTTTTATTATTATTATTAATACCAATACGGCGCCGAAGAGTCGAACAATGCGCATCTCGACACTCATTCCTCCAAGTTGAGCCAGACGGCGTCCTCAAGCTCGTCGTGCCTGTCGAACCGTCGAGACTCGTCGGTCGGAGCCACTCGCGCCAGCGTCACCTCACTCGATTACCCATCTGGCGACAATCAGAGGCCGACTGCGGGAAAGTTTGGTGATGAAATGAAGATAATAGTGAGCTCGGGGGGATGATGGACTACCGAGAAAGCGATGGCGGCCCGGACCCATGGCGGCCTGATGGCGCCGTAATGAGTTTTTAAAGTTGTAGCCGGGAACAGGAGGAGTGCCAAGGACTCGGCTGCGGCTCCCGTTGTTGCCCCTTGTCCACCACAGCTGCGTCGTCGTCATCGTCATTTCCTTCTTGTTGGCTGCCCTTGGGTAGGAACGGGTGTTGTTGTGTCCGCTAGTGATTGTGTTTCTTTGGCTAATTGTGGTATGCAATTACTATGGGTTTGTGCCTCTTTTCTCTTCCTTATTTTCTTTTCTGACATTAATCACACACTTATACATTCAAAGACACCTCACTAACGCACCCATTCATTCATTAACAAAATAACTACACTGGCATTGCATCAGCCCTTTCGTAATACCTCTCCCCATTACGCTACACTTGACTACCCAACTGTATTAAGCCTAATTCAGGAAACCCAAACCGGGAAATAACACAGAAAATAACAAAATCCTAAATTAGAGGCATGATATTGTTCCCAATTACAAAATACAAAACATGGGAAAATGCCACAACACAAAAATAAAAGGCAAAAACGCCAAAGCAAAGAATAAACAGTTAAATCAGAATGAAAAAGAGAAAAAGAGAAAAACAGCAACATAGTCCCCTAAACAAAGACCCCGTAAACAAGAACTAAAATTCCTTTGCTCGCAACAAAGACCCTAAAAATTAAATAGAGACCTCCAAAGAAAATGCCTAAAGGAAAACAGCCAATCAACCAGTCAACAATAAAAACAACGATGGAAAACAAGCCACACTAAAGGAACCCCAAAGCAAGGACACAAAGCTTTTAAAGACCCCAAAACAATAAACCCAAATAGAAATCCTACCCCACCCACCCAAGAAAAAAATCAATAATAATAGTAATAATAATGATAATGATAATAACAATAACAATAGTAATA